ACACACACACACACACACACACACACACACACACACACACACACTAAAGCAATCAATCAGTTCTAAGATATAGCAACCCTCATAGGACAGAATAAAACTGACCCATAATGTTTCCAATGCTGTAATATTTGTGGAAATAGAATACCACATATTTTCTCCTGAGGAACAGCTGGAAATTTTCAGTTGCGTATCTTTTAGTTAGTAGACAAGCATTTTAAAATCATTGTGCCACCATATCTCCTTTGCCCAGTTATTTGCTATGAATAAATAAGCAGCAATAAGCTAAAATGTCATATGAATGCAGCTCTTGAATTATTTCTTTGACCCCTTCACAGGATTATTATTTCTCAGTGTACACATACCAAAGACATTTGGGAGATAACCAATTGCCTGTTGCTTGTTGCTGTTGTATACCATCAAGTCAGAGCTGACCCATAGTTGACCCTCAGTGGGTTTTCAGAGGTAGTTAAGGATGTGGGAGGAGATTGCCCATCCTTCTCCCCAGGAGCAGCTGGTGGATTTGAACTGTGTGCCTTTGGGGACCACTAGGCCATAGGAGCTATTACTTATATAAAAACAGTATTATTAGCTTAAAAAAATCATGTGTCCATTTTCTCATGAAAATCTCATTTTCAATAAAATATTTGGCAGTTACATATCTGATAAAGGATTAATCTTTAAAAGGTATTGAAAACTCCAATATGACAACAACATAAAAAGACAAACAACCCAAGTAAAAAATGGGCAAATGGCATGAGTATGAACTTCACAAAAGAATACTTTCAGATTTCTAACTAATACATGAAAAAATGTTCAAGATGGTTAGCTCTTAAAGAGTTTCAAATCAAAACAGCAATGAAATATCACCTTACCCAAGAAAAATAGTGAATTTTAATAAGAGTGTGAACATCAAATGTTGTTGAGTGTTTAGTGAGGTTGTAACTTTCCTGTGATGCTGTTGGGACTGAAAAATAGTACAACCATTATGAAGAACAGTCTAGCTCTACCTTAGAAAGTTGCTGATAGAAATATTAATTCAGCAATCTCATTATTAGATATATGTTGTTGTTGTTGATTGCCTTTAAGTCAAGCATGACTCATAGTGACCCTATGAACAAAAGGCCTGAAGCCCCTCGACAACTATTGGTATTTATCAGCATAGGGTTTCCAGAGGCATGTTGTTTAGGAAGTGGGTGCCACAACTGCTTCCAAATAGAATCTTTATTAGTTTATATAGCTTAAAGAAATTGGAGCTCTCCTAGGAATAGATTTATATATCCAGGTTCATTCAATATTCTCATCATGGTGTACTATAAGCACTAAGAATCATAAAAAATTTGCAAAACACTGCATCACACAGATGAATTGAAATTTAAAAAAATAAAAAAAAAAACCTTAAACTCACTGCTGTTAAATTGAAACCAGGCAATAGCTAGCTAATCCTCCATTCCATATCTGAGGTTACAAATCACATGGAAGAAAACTGACCATCCTTTTCCCACAGAGCTACAGTAGATTTCAAATACCTGAGAGGCAAGGCCTTTGAGTTAGCAGCACAACTCCCTGCTGGCTCCCAGAGCTCCCTTGGGTGAATCTGGAGGACATTATTTTTTTCTAAGTGAAATAAGTCAGTAATAAAAGGACAAATATTGTATATCGTCACTGTTACAAAAAGCTAAAGAAAAGAATCACTACACACTGAAAGAATCATTCCTGGATTGTTACTGTGAATAGTAAGAGAGGGTTGTTCCTATTGTTAGGTGCCCTCAAGTTGACCACAATTCATAGTGAAAGTATGATCAATTGATCTATACCTTACTATGACTTATGTCATCCTCACAACCCTCAGTGTGCTGGAGCCCATTGTTGCAGCCACTGCTCCATTTGATCTGGTTGAGGGTCATTTTCTCTCTTACCCTCCATCTTTCCCAATATGATATGTTTTTCCAAGGACTGGGCCTTGCTGATAACATGCCCAAAGTATATGAGATAAAATTTCACCAACTTAGCCTCTAAGTTAATAATAATAATTGGTGACTGGAATGCAAAAGTTGGAAACAGAAGGAATGTTGTTTTTATGTGCCT